GTTGTTTCAACCCAACTTTGGGTCAAATATGGACTAACCCAACTTTTGGGTTAAAAATGTAATGTAAGAATTTAACCCAACGGTTGGGTTAGTCCATATTTGACCCAAAGTTGGGTTGAAACAACCCAGCATTTTTTAGAGTGTAGCATACCTGTGGAGAAAGAAATGGTGATGAGAACCAGAGTGATGAACAGTTTCATGGCTGGAAGATCCGAAGAAAACCAAATAACGGTAAAATCAGTATGTGTTTGATTTCCAGAGGTGTACTGTAGTTTTTGAATTATATCTGTTCCAAATTGTAGCTAAGAAGGCAGCATCATAATTATGCTGAAATCTAAGGCAAATCTAAGATTTTGTATTCAATATTTTTGCAATTCAAATTAGGCACATTTGGAAGAAAAGGAAGAAAGACAGAATATTCAAATGGATGTATTTACTGGAACTGGTCATGTCAGGTTATCATTACTCCAACATCAGAACATCAGAAAAGACACCCTAGGCCTATTAGATAAGTGTCTCTAGTTTGATTGCTGCATTTGAACTTTTATGCACATTCAGCTTTGAGTTGAGATGTTGAATGATGATCTGAAGCATACGGAGGCAAATTTGCCTTTCAAAACAGCTGAAAGTAAGATGTTCAATCAAGCACTTTATTGTTCCTACAAGGATGCATTGCACATTGCAGATCATATCAATGACACTGTACCAGAACCATAATCATTGAGTATGATTATTCATATTTTGCATAATTTCTCTTAAAATGATTCTGAGATATCTTCATTACAGCTTGCAAATATCAAGATATCTGCTGCTATGTCGGGGAAGAAGGTTCATTTGGGATTCAAGTTCCTCACACTTGAAGGTCTCTGAGTCCGGGCTGAGGTGATAACATTTCAGACCGCTGTAAATATTTCATAGCCTTTCTCTGTCACCTTTATCACACAAAAATGGGTAAATGGTGCCATCTGGATGCATGGAGGGAGGGAAATTTAACCGCGGGGGTCACGACTGAAAACAACAGAAGTAAAACACATAACATACAGCGTTTCTTGTTCGTTTTCTTGGCTAGAAGTCGTTTGATAGGAACTGTTGGTTTTCGCGGAGGCATTTTACTGATTGAGTTAATAAAATATTTCATTTCAAACCAATAACTGATTTTGATCAAACATAAGCCTAATTGGCAAGTAGCCGTAGTCTATGTTAAATACATGCAGTAAATACAGCTATAGGCCGACCTAGTCTATATGTGACCCTGGAGCACAAAACCAGTCTTAAGTCGCTGGGGTATATTTGTAGCAATAGCCAAAAAATACATTGTATGGGTCAAAATTATAGATTTTTCTTTTATGCCAAAAATCATTAGGACATTAAGTAAAGATCATGTTCCATGAAGATATTTTGCAAATTTCCTACTGTAAATATATTAAAACTTAATTTTTGATTAGTAATATGCATTGCTAAGAACTTCATTTGGACAACTTTAAAGGCGATTTTCTCAATATTTAGATTTTTTTTTTGCACCCTTAGATTCCAGATTTTCAAATAGTTGTATCTCGGCCAAATATTGTCCTATCAAACCATACATCAATGGAAAGCTTATTTATTAAAAAAAAATCGAAAAATTTACACTTATGACTGGTTTTGTGGTCCAGGGTCACATATTAGACGTCCTTCAAACATTTTTATGACATTTAGAAAGGTTACCAGGCTACTATCGCATCTGATGCTTAAACAAATTTATTTATTTTTTTTTTTTTAACTGTCGACAGATGACATGATCATCATATCAAATGTAGCCTATTTAAAACACGAGCTTATTATAATAAAATATTAGGCCCATTAAAAATACATAAACAAAAAGATGCTCTGAGTGAAGACTCACAAATTAAAAAAACAAAATAAAAAATAAAATCTGTTTAGCCTACTACGAACCATCCGAACGAATCGGTTATCTCAGATAAATTGCGTAGCATACATCATTCCATTCATATTTTGTTTGAAACAGGTCGTACAGGTTTCACAGTTGACGTGTTTGAATCACATTTAAAGATATCCTCACACTTTTTGTTCAGTCACAGAGATTATCCTAAAGAGAGAGAGAGAGAGAGAGAGAGAGAGAGAGAGAGAATATAGCCTAAGTTTGTAGAGTAGATTTAGAACCTGGTGGCTTCTAGGAACACTTTGAGCGATGAATTGATTTTTGAACCTGTTCACTGAAACGAGCTCAGATAAATCAGGCTCATCATGTCAGAAACAGGCTGGACAGGTAGGTCGGGCATGTTTCGCAATAAAATAGGTGTGAGGTAAAAAACAAACAAAAAAAAAACACTCAGAAAGAGACAGAGCTTCAGTCTTGCAGATCACACTTCTAACCCAACACTGACAGACACAGTGGTTCATGCTTTTAGAGTTTGTACATGTTTACTGAAGAAACAAATTCATATACAGAGCATAATTTGGACTCTTTTTAATCGTCGTTTGTGCATTAGTTATTTAGTCAATAGAAAATGACAACTCAAAGCCGGATTTTGATTAAAGGAGGGAAGGTGGTAAATGAGGATTTCTCGGAGATGACAGACGTGTATATTGAAGATGGAGTTATTAGTGCAGTTGGCTCAGATCTGCAGGTAGCAGCTGGCACACGGGTCATCGATGCCACAGACAGACTCGTGCTGCCGGGTGGAATAGACACTCGCACACACATGGAGCTGTCATTCATGGGCACCACAGCTGTGGATGACTTTCATAACGGTACCAAGGTAAAAGCAAATGATGAAATACGTTTTGTGCATCCATTATCGTTCATAAACTCATTTGAATTAATCATTTTAAGTTTTGAAATGAAATATAAACATTTAAACGAAACATAATTACATAAACATAAATCGAATGCATTACTCATTGTTCCTTCCATAGTTTCCCCTCTTTACTGTGACGAATTTACAGTATTTTTGCACACAATGCAAATTTCACCTGCAGCATACTGACATAGTCATTTAAATGTCTTACAATCACTCGAATGCCATCTGATGCATCAACTATTAACAGAACTGTACAAAATATAAAAGAAAAAAGTTTTATTTTTAGCATATTTTATACATCAGGTTTTTATGTCCCATATAGTGATATAGTGAAAATATGGAGCACATACTTGAGGAAAAAAAACACATCAGTATTATTCAGAGGATGAAACTGAGCAAAAATATTTGCATTTTGGTGCGGATATTGTTTTATATATATATATATATATATATATATATATAAGGGCAAACAGTAAGATGAAATATTGATAACTTGTAATGTGCATCAGTGGGATGTTAAAGAGACAGCAGCCTAATAAACACTCTGCCTGTCATTAATGTTAATCAAAGAACAAAAGAAAATAATTCACTGATCTTGACTGAATATATTTAATAACTTTAATTGATTAATCTATATTTTATTTATGAAAAGAAAACTATGCAGCGTTTTTAAACTTTTACTTGTCTTTAACACTTTAATATTTGAAATTTATATTAATCTAGTTGCTGTAGTATTTTTTTTAAAGCATAGGCAAAATTCCTCTTGCAGTGATCTGTAGGCTGCTGATTTTTGCTCATGTTATTCAGCTGCAACAGAATGCTTTGTAAAAAGACACAGAATGTTTGACATCTAAATATTTGACTTATTTTTTTTTTATCTTATTGGAATCGAAACTAGGACTCGATAAGCAGAATCGGAATCGGAATCGATCAAATTCAAACGATACCCAACCCTAGATGTAATTAGAGAGTTAATTTTTAACAAAGAGTGTTGATGTTCCATTGCTTTGCTAGCTACATAATACCATGTGTCCACAGGCCGCAGTCGCAGGAGGCACGACCATGATCCTGGACTTTGTCATCCCACAGAAGGGGTGTTCATTCTTGGAAGCCTATGAGCAGCGGAGAACAACGGCTGATCCCAAAGTCTGCTGTGATTACTCCCTTCATATGGCAGTAACCTGGTGGGATGACACTGTATGGCTACTACCATGTATTTACAAATAAATAAATTATATTTTAGTTATGAAACTTGCACTAAAGGTCATTTGCCCAATAAAAAAAAAAAACGATAAAAAAAATGTAACCAATAATTTTATGAACTTATGAACATTTTATAAAAAAATATGAACTTACAAATGGTTTCATTCTACTTAAGGGTGGTCCTCCCTCATGGTGGAATCACATGGGGTTTTTATCTGACTATAAATGTGATGATACATCATTAACAATAACTTCTAAATCTTTCTCTAGGTCAAGAAGGAAATGGAGACTCTTGTTCGTGACAAAGGTGTCAACTCTTTTAAAATGTTCATGGCATACAAAGACGTCTTCATGCTACGTGACAATGAGCTCTATGCAGTATTTGCCCAGTGTAAAGAGATCGGAGCAATAGCTCAAGTCCATGCAGAGAATGGAGACCTTATTGCAGAGGTGAGAATTATTCTGAGTTTATAATTACATCCTCAAATTACAATTCTGCATCTTGTTTGCTATCATTAAATTTCAGGAATCTACCATGGAATTAAGTTCCAAATGACACACAACCTTAAAAGGTAACCAGATATGAGGAGAGAACGGTTCATGGAAGGATAAGCTCTTTTGGATGGTTTTCTAAGCAGATTCCTATGCATATGTAAGAGTAGCCATCTTTTTTTTTACAATTTGCTCTTTTAAAAAATAAAGGTCCTAAAAGGGTGTTTTCACAGCAATGCCATAGAACCACCATTTTCCCCAAAGAACATTTCAGTGAAAAGTTCTTAGAAGAACCTTTTTTCTTACAGTGAAGAACATTTTAAAAAATCTAAAGAACCTTTTTACACTATAAAGAACGTTTTTGGGATGGAAAGGTTCCGTGGATGTTAAATGTTCTTCATGTAAGCATAGATACCAATAAAAACATTCTTTTCAAGAGTGTTGATTCTGTTTCTAATACATAGGTTAGAAACTCTGTGCATCAGCGTGGGTCTGTAAAGGGATCTTTCCCCAAAGCTCTCTGTTCTTTCAGCCCTGAGTTAAACTTCACCATGATTTAAGATGAGCAAACCAGTGTGCAGGTGTTTCTTGTAAATCATTCTTTGAATGCAAAGCTGATCAGGCCCTACGCAAACAGGCCATGTTACACAAGAACTGGCCTGTGCCTTTAAACTACCAATGTGAAGTGACATTTTTACAAATTATATCTGATCAAAAGATCAAGGGCATATTCTGCATAAAAGTGTCAATTATTTTTCTTGTGATTGTGTTAAGAGACTAATAATAACCAGCTAATTTTATGACATGACCTCATTTATTTTTAGATGGTAAATTGCCCAATATGTAGCAAAAAGCCCTAGAAAGCCAGATGTGTCATGTTAGTCTTAGAGTGGTCAGAGTTCATTGAAGCAGTTTATTATGATATGCCACTAAAAGTACATATTTAGGCAATTTATAAAGAATGTTTCAATGAAATACATTTTGCCATCCTGACATTCTTAGACAAATCACATGACGATTACAAACATGTGAAATATAATATAATTCCACTGGAGGGCAGCACATACATAAATGAGTTAATAAAGCTGTATTTTAGGCTGGCTATGTTTTTCACTAGTTTCAGAAAGACTATGGTATAAATCATGCATCCAAAACACAATAGAACAAAACACTATTTCCTCTCTCTTTCTCTTAAATGAGAATTAACATTAAATTAAATTCTTAAAGACTATAGTCTCTCAGTATTCACACATACTTTCAGCATTCACACAGTCTCCTTCCTCTTTTCCCTTCCCCAAAACCAACAAACTAAGGGTTTTTAAAGCCTCTTAGTAAACTGTAACACCTGCCTTCACTAATTATCCAAATGCAAATTAATTAACCTATTAAATTGGGTTTTACATTCCAAACAGCACCAGAAGAGGTTGGCACACAGAGAGAGAGAGAAGCCCAAATTATAAAGCCAAAATGTAAAGGTGTTTTTCTTGTACAGACAACAACACTGTCAAAATGATCTCTGTTCACACAGATTGTGAAAACGACTTAAAATGCCATATTATGCACGTCACGCCAGTAGTTGGCGATGTCACTTTGTAAAGAAACACTAAACAAGCGTGTTTTTAGTTTACAAAGAGACGATAAACATTGTTTTTAATTTGAAACAAATGTTAAAAAGTTTTCCAGGCCCCCAAAATGCCGTTGTCATGTAAATGAATGGTCAAAACACATACATTTTCCATTTTTTTTTGTTCAAAACGGTGTCGTGTAAATGCCCCCCTACATTGAATGACAGGGTATTGACATTGAGCTCTCTTGGAGTGTTCCAGTAAGCAACAACCTAGTAACAACCCACAACATTAGCATAGCAACCACTTCCTAGTAACATCCTAGTAACCACATATGAATGCACTAAAAACAACTCTAACTAAAGACACCTTAACAACTACAGTATATAAGAAAGCACTAAAGATATTCAGAACATCTTAGGCACCACATAGCAATGCCTTGGCAACCACCTATGACACTAGAGCCAGATAACAAAACAAGAACGCATTAAAACACCCAGAACACCTTAGCAACAACATATGAATGACCTGGCAACCACAAACAAAAACCGTAGCATTGTGGCAGTAAGTTTTGCAAGGCAAGCATCACTCCTTCTGTTTTCTATATATAGTATATAACTATATACTATTCTTTTTCTGCTTGGCGAGCACTACTGTTTCCTTCAGAAATGCTATATATTATTAAGAATCTATATATTATAGTTGCTAAATCTGAAGAATTTTATGCTGATGTCGTCTGCTTAAATACAGTACTGTTGATGGCTGTCTCTCAGAGCACGTATAGATTAGATTTTCTGTGAATATTCCCACACGGGGTGCAAAGCGTATGCTCTCTCTGGGCATCACGGGTCCTGAGGGCCATGAGATGTGTCGTCCGGAGGAAGTGGAGGCTGAGGCCACACAGCGCGCCATCACTATTGCACATGCCGCTAACTGCCCACTCTATGTAGTGCACGTCATGAGCAAATCTGCAGCGAAGGTGGTGGCTAATGCTCGCAGAAATGGTGGGTGAGCTGGGATAACACAAGATTATTATTCACAGCAAATGTACAGGCCTGGATTTGACGTTTCTCATGAGTTTTCTGGTGCAAATCATGAGATCCGTTCATTGTGTGACTGATCCATAAGATCAAAGCAATCTGGACATTTTTAGAGTCAACATGACAGTTTTTATATATGTTCTGGTCTTACTGTGAACACTTTATTAGGGCATGCTATTCCAAATAAAAATAATAATTTGCTTCTCCTTTGAAAAAACTTATCCAACTTATCTACCATTTAAAAGTTTGGTCTGTAAGATTTTTCATTGTTTTTGAAAGAATTCTTCTCTTATGCTCACCAAGGCTGCATTTCTTTGATGAAAATAGAGTAATATTAGTGAAATATTTAAAATTTTGAAAGAATGTTTTTTAGAACTGTATTTTAATACATTTTAAAATGTAATTTATTCCTGTGATGCATGAATTTTGAGCAACCATTACCCTAGTTTTCAGTGTTACATGATCCTAATATGCTGATTTGGTTTTTGATTTTGAAGAAACATGTCTTATTATTAGTGCTGCCAAATGATTAATCGCGATTAATCACATCCAAAATAAAAATTGTTTACATATGTGTGTACTGCATATATTTATTATGTATATATAAATACAAACACATGCATGTATATATTTATGAAAAATATGTTATGTTTATGTATTAAATAAATGTATATGTATAATATAAAATATAAGAATATAAATATATAAATGTACTATATACATGTAAATATTTAAAAAAATATATAGTCTATGTGTGTGTATACTATTTATATATACACATAATAAATATACACAGTACACATACATATATTATGTAAACAAAAAAACTTTTATTTTGAATGTGATTAATCGCGATTAATCGTTTGACAGCACTACTTATTATCAATGTTGAAAACTGTCTTTTTGAAAAAAATCTTTTTCAGGATTCTTTGATTAATAGACATTGGCTTCCTGTCTTTTTAGAATTCAGTTTAAGATTTTACTTATTGTTTTCAAAGCTCTTAATGGACAAGCCCCATCTTATATTTCTGATCTTATTTATTTGCATTCAACGCCGAAGTCTCTCAGATCCGCTAATAAAGCTCTATTACATGTCCCTCGGTCACGACTTAAATTAAAAGGAGACAGAGCCTTTGCAGTCGCTGCTCCACGTTTGTGGAATCAGTTGCCACCTGACATTAGGAGTGCTTCTTCTGTTTCTATTTTCAAGTCCAGACTTAAGACACATTTTTACTCTCTCGCCTTTCCGGGCTATTAATTGAATGTGAAACTGTTGTTATTGCCGATATAATTTATTTTAAAATTATTATTATTGTTATTTTAAATTTTACTTTATTTTAGAATTTGCTGTATTTTATTATTGGTTTTGTTCAGCACTTTGGTCAGTGTAATGCTGAATTTTAAATGTGCGCTATAAATAACACTTACTTACTAATAGAAAGTTCAAAACAGCATTTATTTGAATTAGGAATAGTTTGTAACATTATAAACTTTACTATCACTTTTGATCAATTTAATGCATACTTGCTGAATAAAAAAGTATTACATTTGTTTCGAAAATACCTACCTAGCTAACTAACTAAATAAATCTTACCATAAGCTTTTGAACAGTAGTCTATTTTATAGTAGTCCCATCCTACTTTAATACTGTTTCACTCAAAAATTGGTCAGATTGTAGATTTAAAATGTGGAATGAACATCATTTAATGTTGATTTTATTAAGTTTGGACTAAGGTTAGCTGGTTTTGACACCTTTGAATTGATGTTTGAGTTTTACATTTCTAAACCTGTTAATTAAACACTCAATATTGATCCTTTATCAATCATACTGATTGTTTCTCGTCAGGTCGAGTGGTGTTTGGAGAGCCCATTGCGGCTGGACTGGGCACAGATGGCATTAACTATTGGCATAAGGATTGGGCTCATGCTGCTGGTTTTGTCATGGGCCCACCTTTGAGACCAGACTCCAGTACCCCTGGATATCTGATGGACCTGCTGGCCAAGTACGTCATTATTTACTTACATTTACATCCAAACTCGCATTACTTTCTTTTCTTCCATAGAATACAAAAGGTCATGCATGCAAGATAAAAAAAGAGAATATTAAAACATCAAGAATGATGAGATGATAATATGCATTATCTTACAGTGATGATCTAAGCGTGGCAGGAACAGATAACTGCACATTCTCAGTGTGCCAGAAAGCCCTTGGGAAAGACGACTTTACCAAAATCCCAAACGGAGTCAGTGGTGTTGAAGATAGGATGTCTGTTATATGGGAAAAGGGAGTGGTCGGTCGGTCGGTCGGTCTGTCTGTCCTTTAGCTTTCTCATTCTTGGATGTGAGGTACAGCGATCACAAAAATAACTCACAATTTGTGGTTTTATTTTCCCCAGCACAGTGGAAAAATGGATGAAAACCGGTTTGTAGCTGTCACCAGTACTAACGCAGCAAAAATCTTCAACCTTTATTCTCGAAAAGGGAGAATTGCTAAAGGCTCTGATGCAGACCTGGTCATATGGGACCCAGAGGCCACCAGGTAACTCACAGCAGCCTAGAATACATGTGACCTCATTTACATGCTCTAATGAATAATGAGCCCTGTTTCAATGTGCAGACATACCTAACAGCCAGACATTCAATACGAAGACAAAATCTACTTTTTTTTAAATAGAAGGCTGCAGCTGTGACATCAAAACCCAGAAAACTAATTCACAATTTCAATTCAAAAATAAGGTCCGTGGCAAACATAACTTGACGAGACTTGGACGTTTTGTTGTACAATGTAAACTGCACACATAGTTACTTATTACAAACATACAAGTAAAAAGCTGCTTCGCAAGCTGCATTTTCAGTATGGGTGTATGTATTTTTACATTGTAGAGCAAAACATCCAAGTTTTGGTCAGTGTAATGCTGAATTTTAAATGTGCGCTATAAATAACACTTACTTACTAATAGAAAGTTCAAAACAGCATTTATTTGAATTAGGAATAGTTTGTAACATTATAAACTTTACTATCACTTTTGATCAATTTAATGCATACTTGCTGAATAAAAAAGTATTACATTTGTTTCGAAAATACCTACCTAGCTAACTAACTAAATAAATCTTACCATAAGCTTTTGAACAGTAGTCTATTTTATAGTAGTCCCATCCTACTTTAATACTGTTTCACTCAAAAATTGGTCAGATTGTAGATTTAAAATGTGGAATGAACATCATTTAATGTTGATTTTATTAAGTTTGGACTAAGGTTAGCTGGTTTTGACACCTTTGAATTGATGTTTGAGTTTTACATTTCTAAACCTGTTAATTAAACACTCAATATTGATCCTTTATCAATCATACTGATTGTTTCTCGTCAGGTCGAGTGGTGTTTGGAGAGCCCATTGCGGCTGGACTGGGCACAGATGGCATTAACTATTGGCATAAGGATTGGGCTCATGCTGCTGGTTTTGTCATGGGCCCACCTTTGAGACCAGACTCCAGTACCCCTGGATATCTGATGGACCTGCTGGCCAAGTACGTCATTATTTACTTACATTTACATCCAAACTCGCATTACTTTCTTTTCTTCCATAGAATACAAAAGGTCATGCATGCAAGATAAAAAAAGAGAATATTAAAACATCAAGAATGATGAGATGATAATATGCATTATCTTACAGTGATGATCTAAGCGTGGCAGGAACAGATAACTGCACATTCTCAGTGTGCCAGAAAGCCCTTGGGAAAGACGACTTTACCAAAATCCCAAACGGAGTCAGTGGTGTTGAAGATAGGATGTCTGTTATATGGGAAAAGGGAGTGGTCGGTCGGTCGGTCGGTCTGTCTGTCCTTTAGCTTTCTCATTCTTGGATGTGAGGTACAGCGATCACAAAAATAACTCACAATTTGTGGTTTTATTTTCCCCAGCACAGTGGAAAAATGGATGAAAACCGGTTTGTAGCTGTCACCAGTACTAACGCAGCAAAAATCTTCAACCTTTATTCTCGAAAAGGGAGAATTGCTAAAGGCTCTGATGCAGACCTGGTCATATGGGACCCAGAGGCCACCAGGTAACTCACAGCAGCCTAGAATACATGTGACCTCATTTACATGCTCTAATGAATAATGAGCCCTGTTTCAATGTGCAGACATACCTAACAGCCAGACATTCAATACGAAGACAAAATCTACTTTTTTTTAAATAGAAGGCTGCAGCTGTGACATCAAAACCCAGAAAACTAATTCACAATTTCAATTCAAAAATAAGGTCCGTGGCAAACATAACTTGACGAGACTTGGACGTTTTGTTGTACAATGTAAACTGCACACATAGTTACTTATTACAAACATACAAGTAAAAAGCTGCTTCGCAAGCTGCATTTTCAGTATGGGTGTATGTATTTTTACATTGTAGAGCAAAACATCCAAGTATTGTCAGTTTAGATTTACCGCAGACCTCATTTTACTTGTAAATTGAAAAACCACATTATAAAACCCATAGGAAAATCTCAAGGGATCTTATACATTTCTGTAACATTTTTATACGCATTGTCTTTAAAGAAAACAAAATCATTCTGCATGATGCTTAACATGACATTTTCAAAATCAAAGCCTTATTGTTACACAGTACACTCTAAAAAAATGCTGGGTTTTTTCACCCCAACTTTGGGTCAAATATGGCCTAACCCAACTTTTGGATTAAAAATTTAATGTAAAAATTTAACCCAACGGTTGGGTTAGTCCATATTTGACCCAAAGTTGGGTTGAAACAACCCAGCATTTTTTAGAGTGTAATGTGGCATAAAGTTTTGACTGTATAATTCAAAATCCAGCCTTCTCATTTCATGGGCTTCAGCTTTTACATATCTTCATTTCATGAGCGCTCGAGTTTATTTGTAATTGAAGAAAGTCAGCAATGTTTGAGCTTTTTACATCACTTTAATTGCTATGTTTTTTTGTTATTCAGCTGAAATGAGCCAATCTACTTGACATATTTTAATCTATATTAATACTTTAGTTACATATTTGGACCTGACATAAATAGTAAAATAAATCGGCAAAGTTTGCTTTAAAGCTAAAAACGGTTTGAAATGTAATGTCTGTAGGTTCAAATACCTGGGATGTTAAGCATGTTTCTGCATGAATGGGGTCATACGGGTTCTATAGGTACTGAGGCAGATGTTGCCATGACAAAGCATTAATACAGCGGATTGGCTGCAAAGACGTGACCATAAATGGAAAAACTGAAGCGTTCTTCCTGCTCAAACACATAGTTTTTAAAGCGCACACATGAGAGGAGAGGACGGAAACAGCAGACGGCCGTGGGTCTTATGCAATTGGGCCACGTTGCTGCTCCTTTTCCCCGTGAATCTGGGCTAGCTCCCTCTAGGCAAATAACCAACCGCTGATGTGAGTAAAGCAGTGAGGAGCAATGTGCTGAAATTTAGCGCATAGCAGCGTTGCATTAATAAGAATTGAGCGCTTGTGTAAGATGTACTAATAAGAGACTGGTGACGTTTCTGGGTCCGACAATTAGGGTCAACTGGATGCATGTTCTTAGTGGAAAATAATGGAAAGCAAGACAGTTGTCCACGATACTTGCATCAAGCTACACTTTAAGTTTAGATTTAAAGCTTCTCCTAATTGTACCTCACATTTGATTGGACTGACAGTTAATTTACAGTAACTGTGAAATTGCATGATTATCCATCCTTCAGATAATTATTTGGATAAAGTGTTATGATTTTACCGCCTGTAAGGGTTAGCCTATTCCTAGGCACCAAAACACCACTGTTCAATAAGTTATTACAATTATTAATATTAATACAGTAAATAATTCATCCACCAGCTAAACGATGTAATTTCTAACTTTGAAACTGCATAAATAACAATTGTTTTCAAAATGGAATTCCGAACATGCCCCTCGTCAGCCATTGATGAACAAAGCCAAAGCACAGGTTGTTAAAAAACAAATAAGGACATTTTCATAGCTCCACAGTGTTCATAGTTTTCGAGAAAATTAAGAGTTTTCAAGACAACCTGTGATATTTAGAAAGTATTTTAACACCGAAAATGTTACATATTTCAGCTTTACTGAAGTTCATACAGCAATATAGAATGTGTGGTCAGCTTTATAATCATTTTACAAACCAAGGAGTCTGTGTTTTTCTGCAAGCAACATAAATTAAAAATTAATTGTAAAAGAGAAACTGTCAGAAAAAAAGCTTTCAGAAGATAAGAATGAGTTTACAATATTGTAGGCAATATATTTCAAGCAGTACAACCTTTACCCTCAATTTTGGGACTGTAGCATTCATCATTTTGAAATGCTGGAATATTTATTGTCTTTCACAGCAAAATAGATGCAAAAATAAAAAGCATGAAATGCATGAAATGGTATAGTGCACAAGGTATGCAGTTTTATTCATAAATCAATTCATGGAAACTTGTGTACAGACAAGTTCTTAGTCAAGCTGAATACGGTATTAAAATTAATATCCTTTGCACAATGTCAGTTGATGAAATCCATAACTTTTACTATCTTTCTAAATTAGCTTTTTAAGATGATAGCGGTCATGTTAATTGGAAAACTCTTGTTTTTGCTGGTTTGTCTCAGTGCTGAAGACAGATGGCCACTCAGAGCTCATTCTTTGAACTGTGCTGATACAGCAATAGAATGGTTAAAAAAAAAAGCTGAATATGGGAAACAACAGATTTGGGCTGAAAAACTGTAGTGTGCCATTGTACACACTGTAAATGGGCTCAAAGGTCCTTCTGCTGATTTATTAAAGTCATTTGTTTTAATATATTACGATTAGGGCTGGGCAATAGCCCACAGTGCATGCTAATAATAATAATAATATATACATTTTATTATTATTATTTTTATTATAATAAATGTATTTATTTATTTACACACAAACTTAATAGTTTACTTTATATATAAATGTAAGTTAGTACGTCAATTTGCATAATCTTGTATAAGCTTATGTTGTTTTTAGGGTGATTTCAGCAAAGACTCACCACCAGGCTGTGGACTATAACATTTTTGAGGGAATGCTGTGTAATGGGCTTCCAGTGGTCACAATCTCCAGGGGGAAGGTGGTTTATGAAAACGGGCAACTGTTCACAAAACTGGGCATGGGACGATACATCCCACGGAAACCCTTTTCTGAATTTGTGTATAACAGAATTAATCAGCGGGAAAAAGTAGGACAAGTTTGGGCTCTGCTCTAAGGCTGCCTAGCATCCTCTAAAATTTTGAAATGTGGTCATTGAGTGCTATAGAAACTGAGGCTATTTTTTTTTACCCTGTGCTGTGTGCAGAGAACCATACACTGGAGAAATAATATCCATAGCCCCAAAAAGATCCTGAATCATATGGGAAAAAAATGTTTTATAAGGATGTTTTATAAGATGAATTTGCAGTATACTCTTAAAAACTAAGACTCCAGTTATAACCAAAAAAGGGATTTGCCATAGAAGAAACATTTCAGGCTTCACAAAGAACTTTTTAGTTCTGCAAAGAACCCAGAAACCACTGCACTGCTCTGGAGAACCCAAAAATCTATACACTCAACTCAAGAACCATCTACAGTGAAAAAAAAATGGTGCTGCAAAGAATGACTGAAGGACCACTTATGCATTAGTGATGAACAATGATCAATTCTGATATTCTCCTGTTTTGTGTTTTGAATCACCCCCCTAAACATGCCGTACAGTATTGTCAAAAACACTTTTTTTAGCTACAAAATGTTTTAATACATTTTTATATGGTCATGATCAGACTCTAAGACATTTTTTTCATGAGAAAAACTACTTTTATTCAGCTAGGATGCAGTAAATTTGATAAAAAGTGAAACGAAAGACATATACATGTATATTACAAAATATATATTTCAAATAAATGCTATATACATATATACAAATATATATACAAGTAAGTATTAACTGTTTACACCATTGCTCATAAGAAATGTTTCTTGAAAATTCAACTTTACTATCAAAGGAATAAATTATGTAAAATATATTAGAATAGAAAAGAGTTATTTTAAATTGTAATAATATTTCACAATAGTACTGTTAAGAGCCTTGGTGAGCAGAAGGTCTTTCAAAATCATTAAAAAATCTTACCAACCCTACACTTTTGAACGGATGTCTACATGCTTTGTATTCTATAGGATACAGGTTTAACACATATGCATATGCTCATTGTTCAATGACTTCAACCTCAATCTGAGTCTGTTAAATCCTGAAGAGTGAAAGGAAAACCATGGCCCTGGTCACAAACTATGACCACTAGGGCTCATTGTTCCATACAGCACAAACTGATCACTAGGGTAGAGGTCTGCGCGGGACTGTTTTTTTAGTCCCGCTCCCGCAAGGTTCTATTCCGCACCCACCCGCTGAGGGGTGTATATTTACCACAGGTACAGCCTGCTCTTGAGCAATGTTATGCACATGCTGCACACAGACCACGCAATTAAAACGCATGACATTTAAAGCATGCAGCGCGTGCATAACAGTCCTGAGCGCAAGCTGCACCGATGGTCAATAAGAATAAAGCACAGATATGCTGTTCTAAATGGACGTCGGGAACGGGATATTGTTAGACCACCCGCTCCCGTTCAAATTACACTAGAGTTACCAACCGCTACCGCGTTTTATTTGGGGATTTAATCCTGCGGCGCAAAAAATTTGGTCGGGTCCCGCGGTTCCCACGGGAGAGCCGCGGGAATGCAGACCTCTACACTAGGGCCCCATGGCCTATTATCCATTTGCCATTATTCATTGTCATCACAAACAGAACACCTGCTTTTTGTATACAGTGCAATGCTAGGGTACACTTTTTGATAAAAAGGTGTGTGAATGTTGTGTTGTCAACATGTCAAACCTGCAATTATGGCTGATCAACAGACTGATGTGTTGCAAACTTCAAGCATATTTAAACAGCGTCAGGGTTTGTCCTGTGCTTATGGAAAAGTAAGGGGCACCAAAAACTGGGCTGCAATAAAAACAAAAAAGAAATTATTTTGCTTATACAATTTACATTATAACAGTCAAGGCCAAAACATCATCTGCAAGAACTTGAATACAGATGCTTACAGCTACTTATGTTTGATTTCACACATTGTACTTTTTGTGAAATGTATCACAACACAATTCACAATGCAAATATGTGCTGCATTTATAACACTATAGTGGCTATCAACATACACCTTCTGCTACTGTATGTTTCTGGAGAAGCAAAACTGAAGACTTGTTTTCAGAGAATATATTTTGAATTAGATGCATTATTCTTACCTCACTGTTAGTTTTAAAAGAATAAATAATACTGAGTGAGGTTTATTCTTAAAGCAAGAAGAACTATTTGAAAATGGGGTAATACATTTAAACTTAATTTATGATAGTCTTTACATCTTGCACACTCAAGAAAATTTATTCTGTTTTAAGGATGTCTGAATATATTTAGTAGAAAACATGTGACCAACCTGCATGGCTAAAGTCTTCAGAGCTTCATGCTCTTCTGCTTTAGTTTTGCACCGCTTTCTTAAAATCTTTGCATGTAGATAGGCAGCTCTTTTCTCTGCGACTTCTGAGAAAAACTGCTCAGATAGCACAACTCTGAGCTGGACCATCTGTGATGAAAGAAGAATCAGAACAACCAGCAAGGCCAGGACAACAGACAGAGGAACCAGAGACTGATAGAGCCACAGTTCCGGTTCAGGCAAACACTTCTTCTCAAACAGAGACACCGTGTAGGAAAAGTTTGCCCCTTTTGCATTTTCACCAACAGGTAAACCTAGAAATAATGTGGCCTCCTTTGAAAACCAAGGAGAAATGGAAAGAAAATAATTAGATGAAATTCAGACATCAATTACTAACCCTCTGGAATTGTGTGACTTTCTTCCTTTCTTCTGTAGAACACAAAAACAAAAGATACAGAACGTTGTGGTCCAATCAACATTGGGTCCCATTGCCTTTTTTTTTTTTTGGTTCCAAAGAAAGAAAGTCATACATGTTTGGAACGACATGAGGGTGAGTAAATTATCACATTTTAATTTCTGCATGAATTATCCCTTTAAACCTACAGAAATTAAGATATCTGTGCCCTTACAAAAATTAACCATGGTTTTACTACAAATAAAACAGCAAAAAAAACATGGTTACTATAGTTAAACCATGGTAACCACAAATTACCCATGGTTTTGCAACACTAACCATAGTTTAACCATGGTATTTGTAGTAAAACTGTGGTTATACAAATGGCAGTCAATACGCCAAAAAAACATGGTTACTACAATTTTATTATAATAAAACCATGGTTACTTTTCGTAAGTTCACACAGCTGCAGAATACATTTGTCTTTTCTTTAGTTTACACACAATTCAGTTTTGAATGAGAATGAAACTGGATTCTAAGTGACTGCATTTACCAAAACAAGAACAATACTTGTGGGTAGCTACATTCATAAACAGTAAAATACATTGCCATTCATGGATATAGTTAAGATGGTTGATTATAAAAAAGTGTAAGGATTCTTTGCCTACTGTGCTTTTATAGGAAAAATATCTGAGGTTACCTTCACACAACAGAAAAAAATAATTTATGATGGTTATTCCTATTTGAAATGCTAATCAATTTTGACAGAAAGTGCAACCGAAATCTATAACCAGATTACAGCACTCAGTTCAGTTATAGAAAAAACGAAGGATTAAAGGAAAAACATATCCCACAATCCGTAAAACAATACTGCAACTTCTTTGTTTACCTGAACTTTTATTCCCACAGGAACATGAAGTGGCTCCAGTTCCCCGAGTCGCTTGCTCAGAACTACAATAAGCCAGTAAATCAGGGCGTCTAGACTGATAAACACCAGCCAGGTGAGACAGTGAGTGAATATGGGAAGACTGAACTTCATCATGGCTTTCCACCGCCGACCCGTCGGACGAATGGACGGAGTCACTACGTAAAGTTCCGATTCGCTTTTGGTCAGCGGAAGGACATACGGTTTTCCCTTTTCCCTTTGCCGCTCGTCAAAACAACGGAACGTTTTCGTGATGTATTGGTTGTTGTACCTTTTGTCTACGTGGAATCTTCTCAGGTATAGAGCAGTGAGGAGTACAAGAAGTAAAAGACCTAATGTTGGAGACAATATCTTTCCTATTGAAGACAAAGCGTTGGTCAGTGCTAACACATTTTGCGTGGTCTGGTTTAAAGCCTGTTCTGCCTCGGTGAGGTAAATTTTGAAGTCTTGCGAGTCCACCTTTGCTTTTAGTTTGAAATCTGCATGGTAACTCCCTAACTGAAAGTTTATAAAGTAATTTTTAAGTTGCTTTCCCACCCACTTCAGCATTTTAATATAATTCCCGAGGGGTTCTGTATTAATATCCAATAACTTTTCCTCCAAGTTGCAGAGGAGGCCTTTTTCAAGGAGTCTCATGTTCCGCAACGTGTTCTGGATGTTGAAGAAAATCACTGAACTGGTTCCTAAAGTGAGAAGAAGTCTCTTCACTTGTTTCACACCCATTGAGATCAAAATCAAGGCTCCAAAACAGCGAATCCTTTCTGAGAAATACATGGCTGGTGTTAAGCTTATACAAAAAACACAAGTAAAGGGAAGCGAGACCTCCTGAACACATCTGAAGGAAAAGTGGAGGATGAGAAAGAGGAAGGTGCTCAGAATGAGGCTGGTGGTAAAACAGGTCAACAGGAGGAGAAGTTTTTCCTTCCAGCTTTTTGTGGTGTTGGTCGTGTAGAGACCACATATTCTGGACCAGACACGTCGTAGTCCTTCTGCCAGTTGATGCAGTTTAGCTTGAATCATCATCGTCCCACTAACCTGAAATTACAGGAACAAAGATTTTAAAATCGTTAATGGTTTCATAACTAAATGATCAATTAGCCCTAGCATTTCTGCATTATTTTGATCTATAGTGGCCCCAAAACATACTGTATTTAGACACTTAAGCCACACTTAAAAAAAAAACGGAATATAATTTCATTAGATGACAAAACATCAGATCAAGTGACTTCTTTAGTAATACAGCAGCACAAGCATACAAGTAAAACCTTTAACAAAAATAAATTTGTTGGGTTTTAGATGATAAAACAATAGATATATTGTTCTATTTGGACATTTTATGGTTTAAACAGCATGATGAGACTAAGTTCAATTGCAATAAATGGCTCAAAAAAGTGAATTCTGTTTTTGCAGATGTCACGTGGTTATTTTGTTAACTAATTCAATGACATTCAGACATTTGTCAGCGTGGCTTAAGTTATATAACACCAATAGTGCTATCAAATGATTAATCGCAATTAATCGCATCCAAAATAAAAGTTTTTGTTTACATAATATATGTATGTGTATTGTGCTTATTTATTATGTATATATAAATACACACACATACAGTATATATATATTTGAAAATATTCGCATGTATATACATTTATATTATTATATTATATATAAATATATGTAATATATAAACATAGCATATTTTTCTTAAATATATGCATGCGTTTGTATTTATATATACATAATAAATATACACAGTACACACTCATATATTATGTAAACAAAAACTTTTTTGGATGCGATTAATCATTTGACAGCACTAAACACCAAAACTTAAATTTGATATTATACTGACTAAAGCAGCAATGAATCTGTTAATACAATTTAGTCTATCTTACAATGCTACATTTGATTTTGTGATGACTTAAACACCCTATCTTCTGATTTGAACAGTCATGCAGGTATTTCACAGTTAACCTATTTTTCAATGTTAAACCTACCTTTTATTTGTCAGCAGTCTTGTCAGCTCACGAGTGTGTTGTGACAGTCCAGCATTCATCTTTTTAAAGTAAAACAAGAGGAAGCTGATTTTATCCCTCAGTTGTTCTTCCTTTTTGGCCATCATCTCAGCACTTACTCATAACCACAGAACAGCACTGACAAAATCCACCTCGTGATTAATGTTTTCAGAAGAAAAAAAACAATGTCATTTAGTTGTTTGTGGAAAGCTGCATGCTCGCTTTCGAAGTATCTTGATCATTTTGGTAACATAGGAAAACAAAACAAATTTCCCTAGGACAAAATTATAGAACTATTTACAATACAATAACTGAATAAAAAACTTAAATGTATTGTTATTATTACACTTCTGAAACTAATACATTTATATGTATATGTTTGTATACACACTGCACATTACCAATTACCATTGACATATGCTACAAGACATAATGAAGAGTTTTTCCTTTTTCTCAAATTATTTTTTTTCTATTCACTTTTTAAGTTAAGCTAAAGCTGTATGCATGTGTATGAGTGTGTGTACTTTGTTTTTCATGTCATGTCAAGAAACATTAGAGACGTATTGCTTTTGTTTGCGAACGCTCATTTTCCAGTGTAATATCCATTTTTTATTTTTTAATTTGAAAAATAACTTACATAAATCTCTGTACTCAACCATACTTGACCAAGACATAGCCGAAGAAAATAAAAAAACTATAGAGAAGGCATTTGAAATAGAACAGAACATACCTTTGACATCGTGAGACATTATCCCACTTCCATAAGATTTGACAATATCTAGAGAGTTTGCTATTAAAATTCTGTAGATTGTGACAGACGTACACAGAAATCATTAACAGACTGAACGCTCGATAAAATGATTAATCAGAAAAGTTTATTTTCAAAGGAAGAGGTATAATGTCTCTAAATTAAAACTATGCATTAAAACTATGAAGTTCTGAAAATAGAAAATAAAAAATAAATAGGTCTTGGCTTGTAAATAAACTAACAAAAATATATTAAATGACTTCTACTTTCTTGAAACGAAGAAATAAAAAACAAAGTTATATCGTGTGGCAATATCATCGTCCCGATGTGCATTTCTCTGCAGACAGCATCATGCTCGGAAAACTGTACAGCACAATACTGCCAAAGTCAGTGAGCTGCAGCCGTCTCCGGTAAAAAGATCTCGTGAAATTTTGGGCTCTTTTGTCAGGAATACTGCAGCTCATATTTCCGTAAAGATATAAAAATCCCTGGTCATGTTTTTCCCTTAAATTGGTCAACAAAGTATGATTTTACAAGGTGGAATGTTCATTCGGAATTTTGCCCTTCTGGTCCGTGTGAGACCACTGCCTAATTTTCACTAAAATTCAATTCAGGGTGAAGGTGGGGAGAGGATCATCGTCGACATGCACTGTACAAGAAACTGCATTTTTTTTCTCCAAATATCTTCTTTATCAAAACATGCTGAGTTACTGTAAGATGTGCCAAAGCCATGTTGCCAAAAATCCTTTTCAACATGCTTGTTAAACGAATGAACTTCAAACAATATCCAGACTAAAACTAGAAGAGCTGTGGGAAACGAACAGCCCTGAAAATAAAAATTTAAAGGAGATCTGGAACAATATCAGGGGGAAAATCTGACAATGGAAGCAAGAAGTACAGAGAGTTTACCCTGGGACAAGGGAGAAGTAGAGAAACGTACAATTTGCACATCGTCTTTAGCTTCATAAGGCTTACGCCTTTACAATAATAAATCATAGACATTTATTTTTTTTCCATCTTTGTCACATGAACAGATTTCTCACTGGAAATAAAATGTTAAGCTTGACAAAAAACAAGGTTTCAAGTTGTTGTTGTTTTTTTTTAAATCACACTGTAGCATTCACTCCCCATGAAAATCATGCACTAGTGAAATTTATCTTTAAAAATAATAGAAATTGTTGAAAATGGCTGATCCGGTTCATTTTTTCTTTTTCTTGTCGTCTTTTTTTTGCAAGTAGCAGTCTGAGAAAATGATTTCCTATTCACTTTTTTTTTTTTTTTTTTTAAGTTCAGCTAAAGTTGTGTCCATGCAACAAAAAACCTGTCATTTCTTCTTTAGGTTTCATACAGTATCAAGAGAAGTACTTCAATTTGATCTTAAAAGATGATTCAAACCATACATTTCATCTCTGTAATGATCTAGCAGAATCGTATTTGGGGAGTGAGGTGCTCATTCCCACGTCATATTCATGTTTTGTGTGTACATTTCTGGGTCTGTTGTCATGGCTTGACCCAAGGAACACTGTTAGCCCATGTAGATACAAATACATCAACATTAAAAGAAACATAAATGGAAAACAAAAGTCGAAGAGAAGGTTTCGCCTCATTTCAAAACGGGCTTCTGAAGAACTCGACGTGTCAGTTCTCAGTTCAGACTCATCTCCAATGGCTTCAAATAGGTTCTAAAAGCAGGAATTGTGACGTTCCTCAGGCTAAGGAGGCCATTTTCCAGCTTCGTCTCGTCCCTGCTCTCTAGGGGTTGCTCTTTGCGCACAATGTGTGCGGCATTTTTTTGCGAGCAAAAACAGGACCGCTTTTTTTCACCCCTAAGAAACAAGCTCTGAACACACAACATCAAGCATGCAGTGTTACCGGGGGGACGGGACCTGTCGCAAATCTCAAACTCCACCCAATGGCTGCTACAATAACGCTAGATTTCAGGAAACTGCTACGAGCGACCGAACGGCCCGGACCCGCTGTCGAGGGACGACTGGGAAGCTCTTCTGGTCAACGGGGCCAGGGTTGGGTCGACCAATGAAGAGGGAGGAAACAGCTTGAACCAGCCAATAACCATGTTGGACATGTCCAGATCATCTAAAAGTATCTGAGCGGCTCCCATGAAGGATTTGTGGTCCATACGTCCGTAGTCTCCCCACACAATGATCTACGATGGAAAGAAAATAAACAGCCATCAATATCAAGTCACACTCATACAAAAAAAATTGACAAACTAGTGATAGACAGAGGCCAGGCCTCATAATAAAAATTTTAAATGTTAGCTGAGTAAATATTCTGTAAAAAAATGTTGATTTAAATTATTTTAAATTTATTATGTATTATTATTATTTGCTCATATCATTTATTCAATCATTAAAGCATATTTGATGTGACATTGTTTTATATATATATATATATATATATATATATATATATGTAAACACACTTTATATAGTTCATATATATTAAATATACAAATATAAATTATATACAAAATATATAGAATTTATTTACAATTTGTAGACACATACATATATATATACACCATTTATATTTCGGTATAAATCCTTTCCCTTTAGATTGGTATTGGCCATTAAAATGTATTTGTCGACTTTAACAACTAACTAATTGATAAAGGTACTGCTTTCGTTTTAGATTGGCCAAATGAGCTTGAGATAACCTAAAACTGGTACTTAAAAGCATTAGTGATGACATTATACCTGTAAAACCTTTCCTCCTGGGGTCTCTTCAAACGACAGCTGCTGCTGGTAAAGAGGGTCCAGTGTTTTTCGTGCTACTTTTGTTTTCTTTTTGGCTATGCATGCGCCGTTCTCCAGTAGATACACCTTTACATAAGGCGCTGGAGAAGAGTTTAATCGTGAGTGATGAGTGCCTAAGAAATTCAGGTGCCTAAGAAATCACCGTCAGAAAGTGTAACCGCACTCACCTGGCAGTGCCTTAGAACCTGGTTTTCCCACAAGGCCTCTGGCTCGGATGACCTCTACTTCTAGGGCTCCTTTCTTTTCCACCATCCCGATCTGAATGTCACCTAGACATGGAACAAATCAAGGATATATGAGCCACATATGGGTAATATTGCTGTTTTAATATTGGATAATGTTTGAGTGCGACTGGAGATACAAGCACTTGAGTGAAGTGTATAGAAAGTCAATAATAAACAAGAACTCACCCATAGGGGGCGTGGCTAAAGTCTGTCTCCCCACAAGCTGGGCGGGGCCAAGTCCATCCAGAAAACCACTGAATTGACTGTCAGAAGAGAGTCTCACTCCGGGGAAGATGAGGCTGAGAAGAAAAGGTTCGGATTAGATAAACAGTAGACCTTGATCTTATGATGTTACAGGTGACAGGCTGTTGGTTATCACAGAAAAACATTTTGCATTACAGTGAAGCACTTACAGTGGAAATCTAGGGGAAAAGCAGAAATGTACAGCTTATATGCACGTTAAAGGAGTTATATTTGTTCAACTGTACAAAAATGTTTATTTGAGCTATAAAGTCCTCAGAATTGCTCTTTTTGCATAGAACTTCTGAGTACTACCTGTAAAGTGGGTATTTTTTCGATGTAAACAGTTGCTTTCTGGTGTTTTTGCATGTTTATGTAAAAGTTACCAGGCTTACGACTTTAAATGGATATGGCAGCAGGTGAAAGATTGGATAGACACATTTTATATGGTGTTTAAGTCCTAAAGTGGCAGTATACTTTGTGGCAGTGTTTATTATTATTATTATTAACATTTGGTGCAATACCCTGACCCATAGACTTTCACTGTAAATTGACATTACTGCCAATGCAACTTTTGTTTGAATACAATAGAATTGATTTTCGGTAGTAAACGACAACAGGTCACAGATGTTGTTGAATGCATCATTATTATTATTATTTAAAATATGCATACATACATTATAACATTTATACATTCTTAGTATGATAATATATATTTTGATTTTAATATCTAAATTATAGTATGCAAATAATTATTAACAACAATAATTTATTATTATTATTATTATTATTGATACTTTATTTGAATAATTATTTAAAATAAGCATATGTACAATATACAATATATATTATTATTACTATTTTTAAATTATTTTAC